AAATTTCATGCGCAATATCAATAACACGTAGATAATATTAGATGATACACTTTATATATATATATAAATATATACAAAATTACCATTTGTCCTCTCTCGTCACCTGTGTTCGATCTGCAAAAGGGGATATTAACATTTAATTATTTTAATCAGAACTTTGATCTTCTAAATGTTTCAGATTGGTACGTACTTTTTTCCAGAAATTCCTTTTGAATCTAAAATCAGGAAAAAATTAAATTAAATTAAATTTTTAATCCTATCTTTTTTCTCGTTTTCCATCTCTACCTTCATGTTCCAAGAGTTTACACCCAAAATAACGTATCATACCTTTTCTACGTGACCACAGGAACCCCACTATAAGTATGATGATCAGGACAATCGAMAGACCAAACAGTACTCCAAGAACTGCCACTAGTGTCTTGTTCTCCTCTTTACATGGAATCGGCGTATTTTCTTTGAAGTCTACAAAAAGGYTATTTATGTTATTACGATACGATACAAATATGGTCCCACAGATTAGTAACACTATATTCATTTATACACGATATCGAGACAAAAGTCGGGACAGCCAAATCAGGCAATATGGACTAACTACTGCAAACATGTCAAATGAATCCTTGGAGTAAGTAAAAGTACATGGTGCGATTCATTTGATTGACGACAGTTTATTGCTCGATTTCCCAGTAACGACCTATGTCTTGATGAGCGCGTAGCGATGAAATCAGTGGTAATACAAAAGTAAGAACACCCTTGGCCTTCCTTGAGTCGAATCCAAGCAACTATTTTAAACCATCTTACCATTTGATTTCTGAATGCTGTTGTAGTCTATCTGTAGACCATTGATTTCTTCTCCTTGTCTTTTGATATAATCTCTCAAAGGCAGCAGTGGATCAGGTACTTTACCAATGACTTCTAGCTCAAATCGCACTATGATGCTTCCCTTGCTATTGTAATAAATGTCGTAAAGATAAAGAGAATACAGCTTTGCTCAACTTAAACCATAATATATTGAAATCACTCCTGTGGGAGGATAACGTCTGGATTTTCCGTTAACTGCAAGGTTATCCTGTGCTCAAATTCAGTAAGGAGAGAGGATCTATTGCACAGGCCCCGGCGAGCTGCGCTACTGCTGTATTTTGTGGCGGTGCTAAGCGAATATAAGTGCAGTTACTGAGATTATAGCCACTATGTATTTGAATACTTGCATGAAATCCTTAATGCTTACGGCAGCCAAATATGGTACACCCGAGTATGCAGCTTCTAACTAGAAATAAGTAAAATAAACTAATGAAAACAATGAACGAACGAACGAACGAACAAAAATAACTATACTCTACTTACTATTTTGATGTACTTCTGTTTAAGATCATCGTAGCCTGCTGACTTTACATCCTGAAGGTCATCGTGCCATTCTTGGTTTGTTACTCTAAACTGCCCGGTAAACGTTTCCTTGAAAACTAAATTAGAAACGAAAAACAGTCAAATATCGCATAATGGGTTGTAGCAAATTTATCTGATCAGGACTGGATCAGCCCAAGCTAGTGACATTTTGTAATTCTCATTATCATTACTCACGTATTGGTCGTTTGTAAAAATGCAATGTCCTTTCTCGTACGCCAAGGCCATTTTCAGCTTTACACACAATTCTAGCAAAATCCACTTCTTTCTGGATGACAACGAATATTAAATACTGTTTTCTAGTTAACCCTGCATCATGGCTGGTGATGGTGGTCAATATATTCGGTGCAGAAGGATTGCAAGACAGGGATGTGTTACTGGGATATGCGTTGATACTAAGGTTGAACAATACCAGTGGATTGGACTGACTGTGGCTCTTGTTACTCGATCCAATCACTTCAAGAGGATCTAAGTCTGTTAAGGATGAAACAAATTACATACAACATGAAACAATTATAATGACTCTTCCTGCTTACTAGTAAACGCTCACTGCAGCATACAAGTACTTCAGTGATTATACATCACTATCAGTTCAGGTTTTATCTTAGCTTTGYAGGCATGCAGACATGCTGATAAATTGTTAATCCCTTATATTGGATAATAAGAAAACAATAGAAGATGCGATTGTGCTTATTAGTACTCATTTACTCACATTGTACGACGATTTCGATCGGGACTGAAAGGAGAAAGCCAAGATAATTTTTCGCTTTACACAGGTATGTTCCGTTTTGTTTTCGCTTGATGTTGTTATATATTAGTATGCCATTTTGCCSATCAGTTAAAGTCTCCCCATTTTGCTTCCACATGTAAGTCGCGGGTGGATTGCCGTCACTTTGGCAATATAGGGAAAGGCTAGTACCCTCTTTTAGAATCGTTTGTCTTCTCAATGGTAGAATAGTAATGTTGGAAGGTGGATCTGCACAATGTAAATTATAACATTAATTAATACTTCAAATGAAATTTTCGAACCGGAAAGCTTGGAATATTATTAATAGCAGCGTAAAAAAGAAGATAGTATAATGTAAAAATGAACCCAAAGTTATTAAAATTGGCTTCGTATATATCTTGTTTTCCTAGGGATCATTGCAGGCATATTTTTTCGCAGTGCAAACCATTCTTTTATCTTTATCATAGCAAATCGTAATGTCTTTTATCTAGAGCTAGTACYGATCATCACAAGAAACCTATTTTCTGGAGAATAGCATATGACTTCAAACTTACAGTGTATATCTAAGCATATGCTGGCATTCTTGGCGTGTCCAATACCATTATCTGCTGTACACGTGTAACACGATGAATCGTTCTTTTGTGCTCCTGTTATATTGAATATTCGTCCAACACCAATGACAATGCCATCCTTCGTCCAGGTGATTTTAGGTACTGGGTATCCACTGGCATTGCAAACAAGGCTAACATCGTTTCCCTCATTAACCAATATTACTTCTTTGTAAGGATTCGTTRTCTCTGGTGCCATGATTTTTACTTGGAAAATTAAATTTACGTAGTATAACTCCAGCCATTTTATTATTAGTATAATTTCAATATTCGCTTCAATTTTAATGTATAAGTATACACAGTGCAAGTGCTATAATATTAGATATGGAAATCACGGAAATTAGTAAATGGAAAGATTGCATTTCTTACGGTTACCCATAATGTGAACTGACRTGAGTGATAATAGAATGCTTTTACTTTCTATTTTCCTTGTCAGATAATAAATTCACTGTCAACTGCGCTTGCTTTGATCAAATAATTCGTTATAAAAAAGGGGTTATACCAGTTGGAAAATGAGAAGAAAAAAAACATCAATGCTTGCTTGATTGTGAAATCCGTAATAAAACATTAGGCATATTACCGTGTCCGTGTAGAACAAACGACTTTCCTAAAGCTGAAATTATTTTTTATGCGKYGGTGTTTATTGCATAGGCCCAGCTCTATTTTCGTTTATCGATTCTCAATTCTTTATACTTACATTTCACTGCTACGAAAATAGTCTCTACTTGGTAACCAAGACTGTTRTTGGCCAAAAATGTATATTTTCCATGATCCCTCTTTGATACACCATTTATCTCTAACGTACTTCCTATGCCTCGAATACTTCCATTTCTYATCCACATCATATCAGGGGGAGGGTTACCATTAGCMCTRCAAACTAGTTGGACATCATCACCCTCCARAACTGTCTTGTTATTACACGTGATTCTATCTGGTGGATCTGTGAAAATATTTGAATGATTGAATGATTGATTGACTCCGACGAAGGACTAACGTCCGAAACGTCAGTTTCTATTTCCAGTTTCTATTTTCACTACGGTGTTAAACTTATAATTTTACGATAACTTGTTTCATTAGAAACACCGACGCAGTCCACGCTAGTGTTCACTAGCCATCATCTATATATATAATATTCCGAAGCCGATTGCTCTTTGGTCGCGGTAAAATAAACATCACCGATAATAATGACAATTGAACATAAAATAAACTTTATTAACGCGCCGCCCTTCTAGCGTACCATAAGTGTTACACTAATCGTGACCCTACGGTTCTACGCGGTTACTTTCGTAATTAGTTGGTCATCATAAGAAAGCAGTTCAGTTTGTTAAAGTATAATTCATATCATAAGTGGTATAAAAAACATGTCGCGTATATCAAACCCCTACTTACATTTAACAAGTAAAGTCAATGACTCTCTGTCTGGATTACCAACSCCATTGTCAGCAATACAGGTATAGTTTCCTTTGTCAYTTATTGCTACTTGTTGGAAGACAAGCTTGTTCATTGGACTTGATACTGAACTGCTTCCATTGTAATATTGTCCATCCTTCATCCATCTGATGTTTGGTATGGGTTTACCAGTACCATTGCACAACAAGGTGATAGYTTGGTTCTCGACGGCACTTCCACTATCACAGCCTTGACAGACGAATGCAGTGATGGTGGGAGGGACTGTTTTCAAAGTAACAAGATCATCAAGTGACGATTACAAATGGCCGCTTTTTTTTACGGCCGCCTTGTTGGAGGAAC